ACTTATGCAATATTTCATCGACACCTCTTTTATACAACTCATTATTTATTGCAACATAACTTTTAGCTCGATATATTATTTTCTTATCAATTATCTTACTTAATTCTTCAAATATTCGAGTATTGGAAGCCTCCAATCATCTTTTATAACACCCATTGATTATTTTCAACAATATATATTTCCGTAATATTCACATATGTGTAATCTGCTAAGAAATTAGCCACAACTTGCCTTTTAATCAATTTTAAATTTACAAATTGTAATGAAAATTTTGTCAATATCAATACTCATTTATCCATTCGATTATGCAATGTGGGCTTGGACAACAACAACTTTAATATATTGTTTTTTAAAAAAACAATTACATCGTAAGGTTTAAAATAATGTCTCAATTTACAACATGAATGATAAAGACTCAAAGTCAACTTTTCAATTGGACTATATCAAGTTTTGACGTCAACCAATATTTGACTCAAACATTATATAGCACATTCTTCTCCATTCACGCATTCTTGAGCCAACATGCTTGTAATAATAATCTTTGCTGCCGAAACATATAACTTCAACACTTTGCATCTATCAATCGGAATAAGCACAAGTGGACTACTCAATGCTAGCTTAATTTCATCGAAAGCTTTTTGATGCTCGAGATTCCATAAAAAATCACCTTCTTTCTTCAATCTTAGCAACAAAGAAAAAGCATGAGTTTTACCTGCCAAATTCAAAAAAATCTTCTTAAATAATTAATTTTACATATCAAAAACTATAACTCTTTTTTATTTCTAGGAGCATTAATTTTGATTATTATTTTTGCTTTATTTTTATCAATTTTGATTCCTTTTTTATAAATAATAAATCCTAAAAATTCACTTGCATTTATCCCAAAAAGAACATTTCAAAGGGTTCATTTTCAAATTATGATATCTCATTTTCTGGAAAACTTGTTTTAATTTATCAAAATGAAATTCTTTTGACTTAGATTTAATTAGAATATCATCGATATAAACCTGAATAAAATCTCCAATCAAGTCATGAAAAATTAAATTCATTGCTTTTTGATATGTTGCTCTGACATTTTTTAAACAAAAAGGCATAACTAACCATTCATTTATTCCTAATACCCCAAGACATCCAAAAACAATTCTCGAAATGTCATTTTTAACGATAAATATTTGATCCATCTACGAATAATAGATCTGATGATATCTTAAACCTGATTAGTGGTGTTCTACAAGCAATAGACGACAAAACTTATAGGAAATGAAAGCCTTGTTATCTAAATTGCTTAAAGAGAATGCATCCAATGACAACAACAAGCTTGATGTTTCCAAAGATATATTTTATCATCTTTGCCACAAGAATTCTCTTTTCCTAACCAGTGGTGATGAGAGGACAGATCAGGGCGTTATTGTTAGGAGAACACAAATGCACTATAAAACGAAAGTAAATACTAAGAACACAAGGAATTTATGTGATTTAGTTAAAATGACCTACGTCCACGACTGCACTAAATGATAGTTTTCATTCACTTTATTAGTTTTATGTTAAGTGAATAATATTACATGTTTTACATTCATAACTAATCACTTAATGATGCATAAGTGGAAATTTACCTTGCAAAAATACACTTATTTGATTAATTTATAACAAGGTATAATTTCTAGAACCCCATTGTGTTTTTGGAAAATATGTATTAAAATTTGGGCCTTTTTGGTGATGCAGGCCAACAATTGAAAATTTCTACATCCGCTCAGCAGATTACCAGGCGCCCAGCGGATATGAGGCTGTAAATAGAAGTTCAATTCCAATCCGCTCAGCGAAATTTAGTGCATCCAGCGGAATTGTAGCCGCAACTAAATGGGAATTTCAAGCTTCAATGCGCCCAACGAATTATATGCCGCCTAGCGGATTAGGTTCCTTCAAATTGAAGTATTTACAGATCTGCCCATCGGATTAACTAGCACTGAGCGGATGATGAACCTTTGTTTTAATATAAATAGATTTTTAGTGAGAGAGGGGTATCGAAGAAAGAAAACATAAAAAGAGAGAGAGACGAAGAGGAGATCGACCGGAGCTTCATGAAACATAGATTCAAAGCAAAATAGAAGGCCGAATAGCTTGGTAACAAGGATCTACCTTCACTGTTGCTTGGGTTCTGTAATTTTCTTCTTTCTCCCTTCTCTGTAATAGTTTCTCCCATGAGGAGCTAAACTCTCTGGATTGAATATGATGTAAATTCTATTTTGCAATTCTCTGAATGTAATTAATTTATGTTTACCCAGTTGTGTTTGATTTTGTGCGTATTACTTAATTTGGTTTGATTAACTAGATTAGGAACTTAGGTTTTTGAGGTATTCGGAAGAAAATCTGAAATTCTGGAACTATTCAGACACCAAGTAAAATCGAATTCTAGGAATAGATTTGGTCTTACTTGTCCTTAATCTTCAGATTGAAAGTTTAATGATGGATGTTGAATTTGATTCATTGAGGAATCATGTTGAAAAGTCAACATCTTAGGGCTTAGTATCGAGGAATCATACTAAGTGAATTAAGGAGAATGAAACTGGATTAACAAAATCATGATGGTTAAGAAAATGGTAGAATAGAAAGTGCATCATATTTAATAACTCATTTTAGTTAAATTTCTTTCACTGTTCTAATTTTATGTTTATGTGTGGTTACAATTGATTTCAAATCTATACATGGTTAAGTATGAAGATTCACTTTAATTAGAATCATTAATTCACAAATTCCTGTGGACGACTTTATAAATACTACATCGAAACTTGGTACACTGGCAAGTAAAATTGTGAGTAAGGACAAAATTTCACCAGTTTACAATTACATGAGTACTTATAATAATAAAAAAAAAAGTAAATGGGTCAAACCTAATAACGACTCCACATACTTAAAAATCTCTCACTTGAAGATTGTTCACATCAAGCAATTCAAAAGTAAATATAGTAAACCTCAAAATTATAACACCCCCAAACTAGAACAATGTCTTCTCAACAATTAGCCATGAAAACCAGTTAAAGTAATGCAAAACTTCAACTTCTCAGTAGTAACCACTTTGGTCAACATATCTTTACGACTCTCTAACCCAAGGATATTCTACAAAAACAAATTACCATAACTTATAAGTTCTCTAATGAAGTGACATCTTAACTGGATGTGTTTTGTTCTCGCATGAAAAACAGGATTCTTTACAAGATAAATTACATTTTGACTATCGCTACAAATAATACTGTCACACTGCTTTTTGCTTAACTCCTCAAGAAAATTATTCAACCAAATCATTTTCTTATTGGTTTCCAAAATAGTCATGTACTATGCTTCTGTACTTTAAAGTGTAACACTTTTCTAAAGTCGAGACATCCAACTAATTGTTATGTCACTTAATATGAAGACAAATCTTGTAGTACTCTTCTTTGTGTTTAAACAACCTCCAAAATTTGTATTGGAATATTCTTCTAAAATGATATCATTTCTTCTAAGACATAACGCAATTTTAGAAGTACCTTTCAAGTAACATAACAATCACTTAACAGCTTTCCAATGCTTCCTTCCTGGATTAGACATGAATCTACTAACAACTCTCACTACATGAGCAATATCTGGTCTAGTGCATACCATTGCATACATTAAGCTACCAACTCCAGATGCATAAAGAACATTAATCATTATTGTTTTGTCTTCATCTATCTTAGGTGACTTCTTTTTAGTGAGATTAAAGTGAACCTCCAAAGGTGTACTTAAGATTTTGACATCTATATATTGAATTTCTCTATTACTTTCCTAATATTCTTCTCTTGAAATAATATTAGAGAACCTTCAAATTTGTCCATACTAATGTTCATACCCAAAATTTGTTTTACAATACTCAAATCCTTCATCTCAAACTCTTCAAACAATTATATCTTTAATTTATTAATTTATCCATATTAGAACCTCCAACTAACATGTCATCAACATACAATAATAATATGATATAAGATAAACACAAAATTTTCATATAAAAATACTAATCAATGACACACTTCTTATATCCTTTCGTATTTATAAAACTATTAAACTTCAAGTAACCAATATCTAGGTATTTGATTCAACACAAACAAACTCTTAGTCGAACTTGCAAACAAATTTTTCTTTTCCTATATGAATGTCACTGTGCAATTGCTCTAGATGTAAATCCCCTGCAACCACAATACTAAACACAAATCTAATAATAATTATTTTAACTATAATAAAAAAATCTCATTTTCACCACTAACATTGTCTTATATCTCTTACAGTCATTTTGTCTAGCATAAAGAACCCCCTCCCACCCCCTGCTCTATCCGAAATATCCTCTCCTACGATATCATTCCCCTTGTAATAAACGTGAATTTGAGTTTTCTTTTTTAATAGATGAAGATTTTTGCAGTTCAAATTTCAACTGATGATCCGGTTCCAGCATCTATCACATCGAAGTGTTAGGTTTTAAGACTTAACGATTTCAAGATTATGGATGATAGGCTTCAGCTTTATGTAGCAACAAAACTATCATGGAGGTGTTCAAAATTTACGATGAAGTTTGGTCAAAGGATTAACTTTAAAATAAAAAACTAACAAGCAATTCTATCTTCATTTTTTATGCCATTAATTTATGTTGAAAAGAAAAATTTAATGTACTCCTATTGATTTATATACAACTCCCAATTCACTCAGCCAGGGATTTACAAAACGCTGAAATTCAAAATATTGGCTTGAAGATTCAAAATTAATGCTTGGTTGAAACCAATGCTTCCTTCCCCTTCAGTGCTTCAGCTCTATGTTGATGGCTAAAGATCATTTGGAAGCCAGGAAATCTCATTTCATGCATGCATCTCAAAGCAAAGGACTCTGAAATTCCTGGTAAATGCACATCCATGACTATATTTCCGAACTTAAGCTGACATCATTCATTGCACTCTGACCAGGATGATCCACATTTTTGCTGCTAATATACAAATTCAAATTCAAGCTAGAAGAGGACGGGCTCCATGAGGCAACTCCGGAAGATCCAACCTACGAAAGAGACAAATGGCATTAGCTAAAGTCTGTCGTAAGGATCAGAATTCTAAATCAAGTAAAAGCGCATGTAATGTGGTGACATACAAAAGTTGTTCCAGAAAAGGAAGAAACAGGGAAGTATTGCTGAATAAAAGTCCATATTATGAGGTATACACGTGCGGATACTTCATCTATTCCACAACATTTTATAAAATACAAATTTAACAAGTTTCACATCTTAATGAAAATGCATAATACAATTTATATAAATAATGAAACAGAAAATATAATCTTATAGTCAACATTTATTCATATTTTAAAAGTACGTTATACATTAAAAAAAATGAAGTTAATGAATGAAATGTAAATTCAGTTTTAAAATATATAAATTTATAAACTCAATCTACATGCAGAAAATATAGTTTAATGATTAGATTTATGAGATTTAGTATTTGTAAATCTTAGAATTTAGGCTCAAGATTAGAACGGCTCAAACCTTATAAGAATTTTGTTTATTATATTTTTAATCAATGAATGATCAAGAACAAACATTGGAGCATGGTGAAATGCAAGTGAGCAAATAATAGAGCTAGAACAGACTCTAATACCAATTTAGAGTTATAGGGGCTATCAACTCTTATTATTGAGCTACTAGCAAATGTCTAGTAAACTTCACATTCTAGATATCTAGTCTTGACGGTGAAGGGAGGTGTGCTCGTATGTATTACATTGGTAATAAATATGGCCATAATAAAATTGAAACCCAGAAATATGTGGATAGAAGAAACGTCAAAACTCATGAACCTTAACCAGCACCAGGATCAGATACCATGATAAGTGTTTGTGGACACCTCTAACAACACTAAATTTGATTTATATGATTTTAGTTTTAGTTTGGCCCAGGCCTTTGAGAATTTCTGGAAGGGCTCCTCCTTCTGGTGGTGGTTAAAGTCCTGTGAAAAAAAAAATTGGTACCTCCAAAATTGACTCGTATAAAAATTAGTATCTAAAAAATGCCCATGTTTTTTATACCAAATATTTAATGTGATTTTGGAGTTGCCAGTGGCTTTATTATTCTTTACCCGACAGAATTGTTATATGATTATCCTAGTCAGAGATTTGCATGTATGATAGTATGTGATAATGTAAAAATTAACACGTCAACACTGTTAATTCAAAAATAACATATTAACGGTCAAAACCAAATTAGCATATTTATTAAATATTTTATATAAAAGATACTGAAAAAGAAAGTATGATTAAAATGGACTGATTTTGGAGGTATCAGAAACTTAGTTAACCCTTAGTTTTATAATATAATATTTTATCTTTAAAATACAGAAGCTCCTAATAGACGATATTGACATACCCAATCATAACTGTTAAATGAAATTAGGCCCCTAAAGTTCCTATCTAACCCGACAGTGTTAATGTATGCATGTAACCACAAATAGAACTACCATGACAAAGCATTACTCTGCAGCCAGATTAACAAACATTATATTCATGTCTCACCTTTGTTTGACCTGGATCATTCCAGAACCTATTGTAATTGGTATACCCATGATTATGGATTCACTTACTCCACCAATCGAGTCATCCCTCCCCCGTACAGATGCCTGGAAAAGAATATCTGCTGTCCTCTCAAATGATGCAAGCATTAACACACTTTTACCCATCTTTGAAATTCCAAATCTGTTTATTCCGAGGATATGACCCTAGTTTGAAAATTAATTACATGAGTGAAAACCGGGATATTCAAAATCAAAGCAGATAAAGTAACTTCTGTTCAATTTTTTCACTGAATCTCCAAAGAACTCACCGTGGCTGTCATCACATCTGCTAAAAGCATCATATGGCGCGTGTCTATATTCATTCCATGAGTATCCACCATTGTATACTTTATCTCCTTAACAATACACTCTCTGGCAGCTTCAATTCCCAGTGTGTCCCGCACTTCAAGGATATGATTACTAAGAGTTTTACATCCATCAACCCCTTCAATACCCATAACCTCCCGAAAGCCAGTGCTGAGGGGGCAAATAACAATATATGCAGATTAGGAAATAAATCTAACAATTTATACATGCAGATAAGGAAATACACTCAACAATTAAAAAACAGCAATCCACGGAATGATATGACATCAAAATTATTGCTTCTGAGTGACGATAGTTTTCTTTATCTTTTCATTACTAGTCATTAATGGTATAGGTAAATATAAAATCGAGGATGCCCTCTGTCAAAGTGCTGAGTCAGGAACCCACTCTATAATCATATTTAAGATTTTCATAACATGATCTCTAAACATGTAATATTTTTTCTTCTACTACTGATCTATCACTTCATATGTGATGGTGTTAGGGTATAAGGGGAAGGAGTAGTAAGATAGTTAGCATATTAATGAGTAAGGTAGTTGTTTGAGGTGTTATTTAGATATAAATAGGGTAAGAAGGATAGGTGAAGGTGGTTCATATATATATATTTTTTTTTAAATTGAGCATTAGCTGTTTGTGATAGAAACTCAACACTGTAAAATAGAGAATACACAATAAATGTGATGAACAACGAAATGATTTTATTTGATTGAAAGCAAGAAATACAGAAGGAAGAGAAATTCCTGCTGTCCAGAGCACTAGCTCCTTTAGAGCACCCACAAAGGCCCTCCACCAAAAGCAATCCACTAAACCGAATGCCCCAAAAAGGTCCCCACACTTGATTCTAAATACAATGGAAATTCCCCCTTTCTCTCCTCTAACTAACCTCTTTCACTTAGTCTGCCACGTCACCCTTTTATAGGTTTCTTCCTCACATACACCCTTCCCCATCTATGTGTATTAGCTTCTTGGACCAATGGCTCATTATGCCCATTTGTATTAGAGTCTGTGAAAGAGAAATCCTTTGTGATGGGGGAACCCTTGGAGGAGAATGCACTCCTATTTCTTGTTGTTTTCATTCTATATAATAAAAAAACTTTCTTTTCTTTTTCTATTTAATTATTGGTTCCTAACAAATTGGTCTGTCGGATCTTTGAGGGAGATCCATTGTTAGAGATGGAGGAAACACAAATTTTGTCCATAGGGAAGCCACTAGCGTTTCTAGGGGCAGATCCAATTGGTTGGATTGCTAGGGTTGAAAAATTCTGAGGTACATGAAATTGATTCTTTTAACAAGCTGCAACATGCATTCATTAGCATGGAGGGTGTGGCAATGTGTTGGTTCTATTAATGGTGCCAAGATAACTCGGATTTAGATTGAAATCATTTTCACCAGCTTTGGTAATAAGATTCAAAGATACCTACCTATGGTAGCTACATCTTTAAAAGATTGACAAACTACCTTGAAGCAAGAAGAGCAAACCAACACATAGTGTTCTTGAAAGTGAATGGAGAGGGTGATCCACATTTCATTGGACAAGAAAAAAATAGCAGAGGGAAGTGGGACAAATGCATTGCAGAGCTAGTTCTTGGATAAGAAAGGTGGAATTACCCACATTTGATGGAAGCATACAAGGGGGAACTCATTCAGAGAGTGACAGTTTTGAGAGTGATGATTCATTTCTATTCTTGAAATCAGAAAATATAAGTAAAGAAGAAGGCTCATTAATCAAGTATTGGACCATTGATAGTGAAGATGAAACAAAATGTCGGAGGAAGATGTTGCTACATCAATAAAGACTGTGAAGATCATGGGCTGTGAAAATCAGTTGCTTGACAACCCAATTATTGAGTTAATAAAAAAGGAAGTATAAGGTGGAGATGCAACCAAACATTGTTTTTTTCCACATTCAGATTTTCATATTAAGAATTGTTAGATATTATTAATCACAATATATGTATTTGTCATATTTACTTGTATGACTCTTAATCATAAATATATTACCTATGTGTATTTTATATACAAGGGAAATTAACCCTATACCTAATTTTTCACTATATTCAACAAAAAAATCATAAATCATTGTTGGATCCAAATTTGATAGTGAAGGTGGTTGGAATAACAATGGCATTAGAATTTGGGAATTTTAATTTGCTTGGTGATCCTATCACATTAAATTTCATTGTGTCTATGGATCACAACTTGGCAACGGAGTCAATGCAGATGGAAGGTTCAAAGGCTGTTATACAAAATCCACCCTCATTTCCACCACCATTGAAGCCATCAGACCTAAATTTGAATGCAGTAGCCACTGGTTCTCATTCCTGTAGCAAAAAAGGCATCACATGCAAAAAAGGAAGGGCAAATGAAGATCCTGGTAATGAAGATGAGCAATGAGATCAAGCTTCTACTACTACAACCTTGAGGACAAGGTTGATTTTTAGGTGGGGTGTATTGTTAGTGTATAAGGGGAATGAGAAGTTATTTAGATATAAATAGGGTAAGAAGGATAGGTGAAGGGGGTTTGTATATTTTTTATAAATTGAGTATTAGCTGTTTGTGAAAGGAGAAATCCTTTGTGAAAGGGAAACCCTTAGAGGAGAGTATACTCCTATTTCTTGTTCTTTCACCACCAGATTTGCTGTTACTTGTTCATGATGAGCAAAATTTCAAGCCATTGCCATCTATACGGCAGAGCCACTGGCATAGCACCAGCCTAAGGTCCTTCAAACCCTCTCAATTCAATTTTCCACCCAATTACAGAAAAATAGGATAAAAGAACAATCCTGTTTACGCGCAGCAAATCAATTGGCTTGCGTATGCACATTGAGTAAAAGCTCAGGTGTGATTAAGCAGTAACATTTCTGGTCAACACTAATCTGTGTCTGATGTTCACTTGAGCAACTCTTCTGTCTAAATTCCCAACCTCAAAAAGCCATATAATATGCATCCAAACATGTATATAAATTGGATTGAAGGACCATGAGTCATAAAGAAGAACAGGATGAACTAACCCTTCTACCAGTAATTTGAACTTTTCAGCCTTGGTGATTTTATCTTCTTCTTTGCTGATAACAACTCGATCAGCAGTTTTAATTCCCTGCAATTAAGAAATAATAGTTAAACATGTTTTCCCATCTAATTATCTGGAGATAATCACAAAACTACAAAATCACACAAAGCAAGCATAATATTTCCTTCATTGGGTATCATTCATAAAGTCAAAAGAAAATACCTTTACTACAACTGTTGGAAGCAAATTTTTGAGATAGTGAAGTTGAAAATGCAATTTGCTTCTATCAGCATCTTGGGGAACAACTCGAAGCTTTTTAATATCTAAAATCTTTATGTGCTGCACATCAACGAAAACTTTGAATATTGTAGCCATAAAAGGAAAAGAGATCCATAATAACAAGATTAACTCTTCACCTCTGGCTTCAGTTTCGTCTTCTTAGTTTGTAAAATTGATTCTTTTACAATATTAGCATCTATATTTAGATGTGCATCCTGGATTCTTTCCATGTCAAGGGTGATATCAACTGACGCTAATCTTGACGTCATGACAACTTTTATACTCTTTGCAACCTGTATCAATTGGCACAAAATGATAGTTTTACATTAGACTTTAAATTATGAATAGACAGAAAAAAGCTGTCCCGAGACAGGCTTAACATAAGAATGAAAACAGTAGCTTAATAAGACTATTGATTCAAAAATATGATTGATATTACAAATAAGTATAGATAAAAATTGAAAAGTGGTCCCAATGCTTTAAATGATAAATAGTTTATAAATAAATACATTTAAAAATTATTTTAAATATATCTTTAGAATATTTTACAATCTCTTAGATTATCTCTTAAAATTACTTTCCCTTTTCTCTTATTATCTCATGTTTAGCATAAATAACAATTGAGTTAGTGGACATAACATCTATATAACTGTGAATGTATGATATTGTATAAGCTACAACTTGCTGTAAGTTTTGTCTTATCTTTAACGAGAATCAGATTCAGTAACATTTTTGCTCCCTCTCTGAATCCAGTCATGGTATCTAGAGCAGGGTTCGAACCTAATGCACTGGGATAGCACTCCTACGCCAACTCACTCAACCATTGAGATTTCACCCTCAGCTATCTCCTTTGTCAACATAGCACATTCAACATATGTTCTAGTAGAAATTTTCTCGCACATCATTTCTGAGAAACTGGACACCAAAAACTACCTACTATGGTGTCAACAAGTGGAGTCTATCATCAACCATCATCATTACTCGGTGAATCCTTGTTTTTCATGTATTATAACAAATATAACATGACAAAGTTTTAGAAGTAGAACCTCTTAAGAAAAGCACAACCTTGCATGGATATGATACAAATCACATTTCTTAGATATTGTGGAAATAAAAAGTATAAATAATTGTTATTATCAAATATTTTTTGTTAGTTACATATAGAAATAACACTATCAATCTCATTAATTTCTTAAAATAGTTCACAAGAACAATTTTTTTCTTTTGGTTTATGAAAAATAATATTTATGTATTTCTATTTTAGACATAGATATAGGTTTCTTAAACTTTTATTGAATATAAAAGATTTAAAGGTTTGGACATTTAACTAATATTCATATCGGTACATTATCTAAATGTATTATATGTAAAAAAACTAAAAATATTGATGTTTCATAGGTTTTGATATTTCATCGATTAATAAGCAAAGTATTGGTGAAGTATCCCACACAATATGAATCGGATATGTGAAACAAATTGAAGTATCAGTGCTTCATAGCTGTACACACACAAAGTAATTTGCTCAGAGAACTTACTGCTACTGTTTCATTTCACCTATACATATATGATATCAGTAATCTCTATTAAACGGATGCATATAATAATAACAACAATCTGTATTAAAATAATAATGCTTGGAGAAGCACCCAAATATATACTACATCAATAAAGATAAACTTGGAAGTATACCTACTGACATAAGAAAAAAATCAATTAACTAATTATTTTAAAAATAAAAATAACAATATATCTGATGATCAAGGTATAAGTATATTTGCATACCTGGCCTAAATTTGTTTTTTCTATTCGACCTTTAACTATCCTTGCAGTATTTGCATTGTCACCTTTCTCAAGTATTGCGGTGATAATTGGTGTGCTGATTTTTTTGTTTCCATTCATTATTTCTTTGACACGAGGAACTCCAAGAGTGACATCTAATTATAGATTAAGAATTCCAGACCAGTCAACACATAGTAATATTAAATAAAGTATTTGAAAAGAATATTACTAGTGGTAATTATCAAAGTAGACATCAGGGTCAAATAAAGGATACTCATGCTTGCAACTCCAGCAAAGTGGAAAGTTTTCAAAGTCATCTGGGTCCCGGGCTCTCCAATACTATGAGCTCCAGTAGCACCAACAGGAGCTCCAGCCTCCATTTTTTTTGAATGATAACGAGATAGACAAATATTCAAAAAAACCTGAAATAGGGGAATACGTAAGAACAAGCATGGACTACAAAGAATAATAAATGGACTAAAGGAAGCATAATCAGACCAATAGGAAAAAAATGTATATTCTTAGAACCAAATTTCCCCCTGGTATTTCTTATCATTATTTTAGGGAGAGATGTGGTTTCCACATTTTAGATTTTCCCAGTGGTCTCAGTTAAGTCCCCGCACTTTTTTTTTTCTTTTATACATGCTATCAGGAATACTGTACATGATTGATGAGGTTATAGAATATAGTGGTGCTTTTAGCAATCCTTTTTCATTAAATAAAAAATGTCCAGAAAGATCGCAAGAGAACATTAGGAAAATTAGAACCAATTAACATAACCATAAATACCTCTAGTTGTCTACGAGTGATCCCAGATATCCTCTGCCCAAAATTTTTCAGGATTTGAGAATTGTCATCAGTGAAAGCTTCTTCTGTTAATTTTGTATTATCATTGACAAAAGACTGTAGAGACTCTACAAAATCTGCAGAGAAGCCCACCTCTAAAACTCCTTTATCCACTTCCCTTGACATACCAATTTCTGAGAGCTTATCTTTAACTACTTTACACACATCAGAGGAAGATAAAATTTCATCATCTTCCTCATTGGGACATATGGCCTACAAAGAAAATTAACACAATACAAAACAAGGAAAAACAGCTTTGTCACAATATTACAGATTCCAAATAATAATGATGAAACTAAATAAAACAAAGGCAGCTTTTAAACCTTGCTTTTAAGAAACAACCGCTCAAAATTTAATGGTTTTCCATTTTTTCCTTCCATGCCTCCTGGATCCATGCCATCATCTCCATAACAAAATTGAACAATAGAACCACCCGCATTTCTTACAGTGTAATCATAATGTAAGAACAAATCCTCCATGGATTTCATTAATTGTCGTGACATGTATCCAGTATCTGCAGTTTTAACCTGCAAATCCACAAGCAGAAACAAAATCATAAAATGAAGTCCAATGTTTTCTTCGTAGTAAATAATTATAAACATAACCACATCCAAGATTCCAGTTTTACCACTACCAGTAGCTTCTACATACACAATAGTTAACTTTATATAAGTGAAACAATCCAAATCGACCTCCAGGTACTAACTACAATTGTGTAAAGTGGTTAAAAAGAACACATTATTCCAAAATGAAGTATCCAAGTGAAAAACATATAGCCATGATTCATAAGCCATAAACTATTCTAGATATAATTTGGTTTTAATAGTTGATATAATTGAATCAAGTTGTTAATTAAGAATATATTATGCATTAATTTATTCAAAGTCAAAATAAGAACCCTACCGCTGTATCAACAAGCCCTTCTCGGCCTCCCATTGTATGGAAGAAAAACTCAGTAGCTGACAACCCACTGTAAAAGGAATTAGCAACAAAACCTTTAGCCTGCATCAAGAGCAGCACAACATTATTCAATGTTAAGAAATAACTGTAAGATGCATCACATAACCAGAGTGATATTCAACACCAGAAATTAAAATCTGTGCAGAGACAGTTGATAGAATTGACAGAATTTGATTTGATATGCAATAACGATTCAGATATGTGGTGACTATATAAAGCATTTCTACTTTGGTCTCAGTTACACAGATAAATGTGAAATGAAGACAACATGTAATAAGGATCAAACATCATCATGAACATAAAAAATTCAAGTTAATTTCTCAAAGCTGAATTTAGAGTGTTAGTTGCTTAAATTAACTGTTTGTATAATGTGTCTTTGTGTCAGTTGCATTTCAGGTGTGAGAACCAGTCTAATCAACAAGGCCAGTTAAACCTTTTTTTCCTTTGGCTAATATTTTTCACACAGACATACAACCATCATTCATCCACTAATTTGCATTTAAATGCTTACTCTGTTTGGTCAGATATCATAATCAGGCCTGCACTATAGCATATATGCCCATTATGAGCGACTGGTTTAACCCAAGTTCAATTTTTCATCATTCATCAAAATCAGATTTGGTCCTCTGCACATTTCTGGTTTAATATGATAGCCTAGTATTCAATTCAATATATTAAAGATGTCAAATACCTATGTAGAATTAACCATAATATTCTAGCACAAACACAAAACAATAAGATTAATAGCCTAATCACCCTCTATATTCTAAGTCTACACAGCATATTGATCTATATTCCAAGTAATTTGTGTTCCTCAAAACATAAAATAATTTTCTGCACCTAATGGTTGAACTACTTTGCTGTAATTATAAGGTTTTATGCATAGAAGGACGAGGAGAGAAGTCACTTCACATGATACTATCATCTATTGTGGCATGCTACAAAGTGATATAAAACATAAATCATTAATCCTTGTTTAAATAAGGAAATGAATCATGAGATCATTGTTGGAATAGTTTATCTGTTAGTATAGCTTAACTTGTTAAGATAGGTTAACTTGTCTTCTCTAAAAGTTGTTTATACATGTTAGCATCAGACACCTAGGTATAGCCTTTTCTTCTACACTTTTGCAATTCTGATGTAACTTTCTCCTGTAAATAACATGGATCAGCCAAGAGATAATCAATCTTTGAAGCTCTTTTCTCATCTCTCACTCTTAAATTGGTATCAAAGTGGATTGATCTCTCTCTCTATTTGTCATTGCTTGATGAAACCATTGCCATCCACCACCGGCTGCCACCAGCTTTCATCCTTTTGCTACAACCCAAAATTTTGTAACTTCCTTTAGCATTTATGATTTTGGCCCCACAAGATTATTAAATATATCTACTTGTAGATTTACAAATTTAACATCTTACCCTTTTATATTCTTTCAACTTTTCATATTCATTTATTATTTATTAATAATATATTATCTGACCCCCTCAAAATCAATGGTCAAGATCCACTACTATATACCAAATCACATTTTAATTAATAATAATATAAATCTTTGAACAACAAATAATAAATCACCATTAAACTCATGATATAATAAAATAAAATAAATTTCTTCTTTAAAATATATATATATATATATATATATATATATATATATATATATATAATCTCACACTATTAGGCACACTCCCAAAGAAAAGCATGAAACAAGAAAGGTTTTTCACCGATATATTCTTTCACCTTTTCATATTAATTTATTATTTATTAATAACATATTATTTGGTCTCATCAATGATCAAGATTCATCGTTGTATACCAAATCACATTTTAATTAATAATAATATAAATCTTTGAACAACAAATAATAAATGACCATTAAACTCATGATATCATAAAATAAAATAATTTTTTTCTTTAAAAAGTATATACATATATATATATATACATATTATATATATATATATATATATATATATCAAATCTCACACTATTAGGCACACTCCCAAAGAAAAGCATGAAACAAGAAAGGCTTTTCACCCACACCATTCTCTCCCAACAAGAGAACGAACCAGCCCATTCTTGTCACTCTGAACACACTTTTCTTTGCTACCTTTTCTCTTTCCCTTCCACACCCTTCTCTTTTCCTCTCTTCTTTTTCTTCTTCTTTTGAGCACAACCCCAACGGGAATGGCTGAAGTGTGGGGATTTGGGTTAGGGATTTTTATATGTCATATTGCACGCTGGAATCATTCAAGCACCCTGACAAAGCCAGGGCCAAAAGAGAAACCTCCTTTAGTTTTATAACATTAAAAGGTTTAAGCCTAATGATTTCTCTGTGACCACTGTTTAGGCCAACCAAGTCCTCGAGATTATGAGTGGGATCGTAAAGGGTTCACAAAATCTTAAGTCGTAACATGGATCGTAGATCCTACTTATATATATACATATATATATATATATATATATATATATATAAATATATATATAATGATAAGATAAATAACAAATGACATTTCAAAATATACATAGTTTTATCATAAAATGGAAGAAATAAACCATATCATGAACCAAGTCTACCATAAGTATAAATTTTGATGGTTAAAGTCTAAATAATAAATATTTAATATAAATCTTTTAAACTAAAATCAAAACTCAAGGATCTTCTTCAATAGTTCCATCTTGCTACTCTAAAGATGGGATGACAAGATCATCAGTCTCTTACTCTTCACTTGGGATTTGACCTTGTTCATCATCTCCATTTAAATTTGGAGCATCATTCAAACAAACATTTTCATCTTCTTCATTAGTTTCCACACAAAAAAATTTCACTGTTTTGAAACATTACATGGTCTCTGAGTACAATTTATTATTTAGTTTTTTTACTATTCCGAAACGGTGCATGTGTTTGGGAGCTGAACAGTTTATTTTTGAAAATAACACTTTATTAATTTAGAGAGAAGATGCGTTTCAAACTGTGAGAGGAATGTGAATTGTTTATTTTGTTCCACTACGAGAAGAAGCATTCCCAACCCACGTTAGACGGTGAATCGAACAATTGCACACTGATCCAAGTTCGCCTGAGATTTGGCACAATGCTTGGGTCTAGAGTCGTTTTATCGTTCAATTCCATGATTTATATCGCAATTTTGACTACCTTGGTTGGAGCTAGCTGCATGATAACTATGTGCCAAACTTTGTTCATCAGAGCAAAGGCATGGCACCTCCATATGGACGACCCTCCTAGTCCTTGTGTCAACTCTTGGTTTGTGGTTTCTAGTTTTAACTAAGGTGCAATACCCATATTTCCCCATCAGACTTGCTTTAGTTAAGATAGGAATAAAGTACTATCAGATAAAGAACTATGGAATAATATTTATTTCTAGCTCTTAGTGCTTTCCCGTGAAAGTCATTCAAGAATTTCAACTCATTTTGGAAAAGGCTCAAAATATTTTTGTAAATGCTATTGAACACCTCAATGATTCTATCAATAGACTGGCATCAATGAAAAAACAGATCAGAACATGATCTCTTTTATTGCTGGAGATCAATCAACTATTGAAATATAAAAGATGTTCTTGGAAGTTGATTCATAAAAAAGGTGAGTTTGTGGAGATAAAGAACAGAGGCTATGGATGTCCTCAATGCTCTTATTATAAGAGACCCACTCAAAATAATTGCTTCTCTTTCTGTGGCTTCCCTTAACAAGACAACAAACATATCTCAATCTAACAAGGTTGAACGATGGATTTCTAATGACAAATGTCAAGTATATCACAGGTTAGAGAATCAATCTCTTGCACTCTTTTCTCATTTTTTTATACCATATTGAAACAAAGAAACCAAGAAATCAGGAAACTAATCTTAAGATAGTCTAAATCAACAAGATCAATTTAAGGTGGCAAGATTTGCAACCTCCAAACAAGTTTGTCAATTAATCTAGCTAAACACAAGAAAATTAGAAACTACGAAGGAGTGAAGATTTAGTTCTATTTTTATGATGGATGATAGAGTCACAAATAAAGAGAACAGAACATACCGCAGGGGTTTTTGCACTTTTAGGGAAATGTGGAAGGCTCCGATCCATGAACCCATTAGGGGCACGGCGACCACCAACTGACTGTTGACCAACACAAGCAACCATTTGACTGATATTAATAGGAGATCCTTTGGATCCACATTGCGACATGATCAATGGACTATTTCTCCAGTGCAGGGTTTGCATGCAAACCTGTGAAAATTACGAAGTCATTGGCATGCAGACATTTTTCCGAAACACACAAAACAAATTACTTCAGGAAAACAAATGGATACCTTCCCTGCGGTATCACGTAGTCCATTTAATACCCCAGTAATCTGAGTCTCTAAAGTTTGAGCAGCATCACAACCAGCTATGAGTTCTAGTTTTCCTTTATTGAAAGCTTCTATGTGATGATCACATTTCCTATAACCTTCTGAAAGTGTTTCATCTTTCTTGTTAATCAGTACCTCTTTTGGTTGGACATCATCAATGCCTATAGAAAACCCATGATTACCAATCCACCGAGCACTGCATCAAATAAAGTGACAGCTTTTAACAGAAATTCTACTTCAGCATGTTTTCCTTTTACACGGCTCCCCCTTCCTTTGGGTGAGACTAGTGCTCACTTTGGGAATTGATGCTACCCTCCCCACAAGTACTTTCCCTGCAGAATCAGTTTGCTTTTGCTAAGACGAATCAAATAGCAGAGCTCATGCTTGCTTTGATCCACATACACCCTCTCAAGGTTACTTTAAAAGCATATTTTTAAAGTGAAAGACTAGAACTTTAAATATGCTTTCAAATTCCAGTATTACATTTATTCTAATTCAAAACTTGTCAATTATAGTAAAACAGGTATCACTATTACCACTCGTAAACAAACACATTTACCTCAACTTAGCTAGACGATTCATGCAAGATGCAGCTGCATGTGCTTTATAGTCTCTCAGTAGCACAGAGAACAGTCCATCCTTATTGCCATTTCCTGAACTCATGCAAAACAAAGCAGGACATCAACAAAATTGCAAAAGCATGCAAACAATAATAGTAAAAATACTTTATAACAACAAACTAGGCAGGTGAAGGTTTCAAAAATAAACTAAATTGCAAATTGAGACTTTTTTAAAAAATTATTGCTGCAATACTAAAAGTGATTAGACTTAAATTATTAGATGAATGAAAGAGAGATAATCGGAAGTATATAGAAGAATACTTTGCAGCAGAAAGTTCTATCCGATTTCTCACATCTATATAAAATTCTTTCCTTGTCCCCAACATTTACTACTTTCTCAAATAGTTGAAAATTCCATCACACCAATAAAGTGCATCTACCCAACTTCATATGTATTTGTTGGCAGATAAATAATTACATGTTAAGAGCTTTCTTTTTGGGAAATAATTATTTTTTCTTTCAAAACCACTCTCAAGAAGTTGACAAAACAAAGTTTCTTCAAACTGGATAATTATATCCAAACATACACAGTAGTCATGAGAATTTAAGTTTATCTACAGTTATACAATTTCTTAAGCATAGAAATATGAAATGAAAGAAACAAGGGAAATTTAGAGTAACTAACCTAAAGTAACCTTTCCAATTTGGCCAGAGATCAACTCACTATTACGAAAATAAACAAACCCATCATTTGGGCACAATGTTTTCAATTCTCTTTTCTTGTCATCAAGCTTTGTGTATGTTTTCTCTTTAACAGTAAGATTCACATAGACTCTCATATTTGCATGTGGGCGCAGTAGAATGCTAAATAACTGCTTACCACTCCAAAGTTCAACTGGCTGCAGAGAATAATGACAATAAGAAGACATATACAGTGACAGTATAAATTAGTAAAACGAATGTCTCATTGTGAAAAAAATGTATTCATCCAGCTATAACTACATATTTTTTTCACACAACACACCTCTTGCGGGAATATTTTAGAAAAATAGTCAATTATAAAAAGAAGATAATATAATTTCTTTGTAGAACTCCTTCCCACTAAAGTAGCTTCAAGATAAGGTGTTCTTGGCACATATATTCATTTAAGCAGCTTTCATCAATTGTTACACCAATCCAACCATTAGACTGAAACTTTGGTCAAGGTAATCAAGTCTATTGAATTTCATTCAACTTAAAATAATCAAATATTTTGTTCCTGTCTTTTTATTTTAACAGATTCTGAAAGTTTCAGACATGTGATTTGTTTAATAGTTGTATGCTAAATAATCAAGAAGATATCCAACTATTCAACAATTGTACTGATTAAATTTGCCTATCGCAGAAAGTTATTCAAAGACGTGAGCGTGTAGATACCTTACCTTTCCTTTCAGACACACTCGTAAATACTCAGATAGATATATACTCTCAAATTAATAAAATGGCTGAAAGTATGACTGAATCTAGTGCATGTCACATTTATAAGATCCACTCTCACCTTAATAATTGCAGGAGTTGGCAGATCAATAAGATCCATGCCATCCCCTATGTATGAGCATATAAGTGTAAAGGTAGAACGGTCATAAAAAGTATCTTTTCGGGTTATGAGAAAGGAAGACGTTAAAAAGTCTTGAGTAGAAGCAACCAGAATTTCGCCATTTTTTGGTGTGCATAAATTGTTTTGCACCTGAAAGCAAACAAAATTCCAGTAAGAAAGTAATGTTAGGTTCTTCAAAAGCTTAAACCATATTTTATGACTCTAATCATAAATAAGAGTCTCTGATATGTAATTTATTCACAGACATGAAATTCAACACGACTCTAGATTTCTCTCAACTGCCTAAATATTCAATTTGATTAAAGCATGCCTTGTGGGAAAGCAATACACAGAAAATACAGCAGAACTAATGAAAAAAACTCAAGAAAAAGCAACTACAAACACAAAGGTTACAGAGAAATTGAATGGACAGCAAAACAAAATGCTCAGAGCAGAGCCATTAGAAGATCGTAACAGAAGGATTCATAATGAAATTAACAAATTGGATCAAAAAGCATTGTAGACGGCAACATGCAATCCTAAATGACAATGAGATTCAGTGATTTTTACCCCCATCAACAGAATAGCCTCTGTCCGAGCCTCCTCGGTCTGTGGGACATGCATGTTCATCTCATCACCATCAAAGTCAGCATTATATGGGTTACATACAGATTCATTGAATCTTAAAGTTCTCCAAGGCATAATCCTTGCCTGCCCGAAAATTAAAGATTAATTCAATTGGATCCAAATCTGTCACTAATCTAAATTTCAATTGAACAAATTACCCTGTGACACATTATAGACATCCGATGTAAACTTGGTTGCCTATTGAAAAGCACAATGTCTCCATCTTCTAAATGGCGATCAACAATATCACCAATCCTCAATTCATCTGCTGCACGCTTTCTACAAAGTACTTTTAAGGACCTGCAGAAAACAATATGCTTTGTCAAATAAATAAAATTGGCTTGACAACTCCACAAAACAAAAATGAAATAGTACAAACTACTAACCATGAGAGTCCTCCATCACGCCTAAGCATTCTCGCACCAGGATACTTATCAGGACCATTTCTCACACATTGTCGCAACTTTTCTATGTTATGGTGAGTAACACGCTCCGGATAAGTCAGGATACGAGCCATATGGATGGGTATTGCAACCTAGAGCAAAGGAGAAAGTTAAGAGGCATAAACATGAATGTTGAAAAGAGGTAATTTCCTTGTGTTATTTTTTCCATGGGAAATATAGTGACTGACAGTAGTTAATATCTTCCAAAACATATATATGTGTTATAAATATTAATATTCTACTATATGTCTTATGTGTTATCTAAAGGATAGAAAGTACTTATGCATGATAACTGGCATGGTTTTAATGCCTAACCTCAGAAATCTTCAGATTAGGATCCGGAGAAATAACTGTTCTGCCTGTATATTCAACTCGTTTTCCAGATAAGTTGCCACGGAAACGCCCATGCTTACCTTTCAAGCGCTGAACAAAACCAGCCAATTGCTTGGTCGATTGCATATAAAATGGTATACCACGAACATCACTATTAATGAATTGAGCAACTTCATTTTGAAGGATCTCCCAACCATCCTAAGCCAAAATCGCCAACAAAATCACACCACCATTTCATATGGAACAAAAACAATTAATAATCTCATGATATAAGAAAAAAATAAAAGAGAGCAAATAAATGTACATACTCCCAAGCAAAAAAAAACAAGCATTTAGAATATACACAATTGGAATAAACATTAAACTAGGAAAAATCATATTGCATAATATTACATAAGAGTGAGCAATGACATCATACGAGTCCAAAAAGATTATAAAAAAATAGAAATGGTAACAAATCAACCAAGACAAACTGAGCTCCATTTCAGATGAATTTACCAGAGGTGCAAGGCTTTAAATTCCATTGGAAGCAACTAATTACCAAGGCAAATGCCTGTATCCAAAAAGCAATTCATCCCCCAAACACAGGGCATATACTTTGTAGATAGTATACCAGAACAAGGAAAATTACAAAAGACTAAAATACATACATTGCATAATAAAGCTTAAAAAACAAAGGACAGAGCTTAAGAACCTCTTCTGAGCATATAATCTATGCGAAAACCTGTCTATCTATATATGCAACTTAAAAAGTAACAAAACATTAACTTTAACTAACTGAAGCTTGATAAAGAAAATCTGATCATTCACGATGCCCTACTATACCAGAAATTTGGATGAAACACTTGATTCTTGTAATTCCTGGCGCAGAACAGCATTTGCTTGGATTATGTTCTTTAGCCTCTCTGTTATGTCATTTTCATTGCTACAATAAATGAAGACAGAGATTGTAATCATTAGTTATTATTATTTTCTACCAAAGAATTATTTTAGTTGAGGAAAAAAGAATAAGGGATCAGAAATCATCCTGAAACAAAAGAGAGAGGGAAAAGAAACTGTAGAAATACAAGTTTCATCTGATCTCTTATTTCTCATAGTATGCACCAAAGAAAAGCCTAGTGTTAGTTAAGGGGAGAGAATACAAAAATATATCCAAACTGCCATTACCTCAGTGATTGATCCATTACAACTGAAGGTCGAATAGCTATAGGTGGCACAATAATGTTTGTTATTATAAGTTTCTCTGGTCTTTCAGCAACATAAATTAATTCACAATCCTACAACCAAAAGTAACAAAAATGTTCAACTTCTGAGAAAATATGCCTCTTTATAGCATTCATGATGTCCACAAAATTGCAGACAATAGGATCTTTTCCTAAAATGAAAAGGAAAAGGGGTATGAAAAACCAAACCAGAAAAAATTACATGTAAATATAAATGTTTACCTCATCAAGCATCTTTCTAAAGAGGGAAAGAACTTGGAAAGGGTTAAGAATTCGATTAGACACATTTGTGATCGCCCTAGAGTCTTTTATACGAGAAAGTGTGGATTCAAGCTCTTCAACTACGGTATTTTTACATTTTGAACAATCATGCATGATGATCAGTGAAGCTGGAAGCTTCTTTACTGAACCTGTATAACAATAGTCATCACAAATACCACCTCAGAAAAATAAAATGTGCATATCTTAACAGGTATTATGCAAGACAATCATTATAATCCTCAATCTTAAAATGGTTAAGCAATTAGTGTAAATATTTCCCCACTAATAACAAATTATTAGTCTTCTTTAACTTTGGGAGAGCAAAAAATGGTTTATTTATGCCATGTGTAGTGATTATCAGTTTAGCAAAATGCTGGTCTTGAAGGAACAGGCTCCTGCAATAGAAGTTTACTGAATGTTGAGCTTGTGTTAGCACATAGTTCATACAAACATTAAGATGAAAACATTCGTAATCCATATTTACCATATAATAAAGGACTAGTAAAGCACCAAAAAGAACTTGCATTCTAAATTGTCTACAAAGGATAGTGAGTAAAATAAAAGTTTATCACAGTTTCTGTTGCACCTTATGCTTCATTTTGAAGTGCCAACAAAGTATTCAAAGGATAGATAATAGGCAATAAAAGATCTATGAGCTTATTCATAGCTGGGAAAAAATTAGCAAGAAAAAAAATAAAATTAAAATTTCCTAATATTTAATACAAGATATCCTTAAAGATGGAATCAAAACCAAAAAACATGGAACGATTATGTTTCTACCAAATAAAAAAAATCAAGCCATTAAAATATAGTCTTTAAATAAATTCAAATAATAAAGTTGTTGATTGAATTAAGCATAACAAAACAAACCGTTGATATATCCACATCTTGGGCAATTCACAACTTTGCTACAATCTTTAATTATATGATCTTTCACAAAACCAATCTTATCCAGTTCACTCTTTTTGGAACTTCTCATTTTCTTCAAATGTTTTTTCCGGGTATCTTCATCAAGGAGAATTCGAGCACAACCCTGGTAAAGTAGAATGTTAATTGGTATCATATACAAACTTATAAATAGACTTTTATACACTACAACCCTGGTAAGTTCCTGTATATATATATATATATATATAGAGAGAGAGAGAGAGAGAGAGATAATATTTTTTAAGACAGACAAATCTCGAATTGAACTTAAAAGAGAAAAGGTTGCATTTATGCAGAGAAAGGATATATCAAGTTTGAGTTCTTTTCTTGTTGCAAAATGAGGCTCAAATCTCATTCCTTGGAGAGAGAAAAATTCACTAAACACCAAGTCTATGACGGTCAAACAAAAGACCTGACAGTGCTTTCAGTGAGTTACAAAACATAACATTACTTGAAAAAGCCATCTCCTAATGCTAATCTTCTGAAATTGTGTCATCCATATGTGTATGTCATATAAGTAGTAATTATATGTCAATTTAAATGATATAAAACAAGAGATGTGCTGAGAATTACGGAAAAAACAAAATCCAGAGAGCAAGCACATATGAAACAAATGAAACATTTGTATACCTTACAAATGCACTTCAGTATTTCCACAATGGTACCTAAATATCCAACATTGAAAACAGGAAGGGCAAGGTTTAAGTATCCATAGTGCCCTGGACAATCATGAAAGTTCCCATGGCATGTAGCACAGACAAGACTCTTATTAGCAGGACCCTGAAATACACAAGAAAAGGAATTGATGTTTTAGCATTTTGTGCATGTAATATAAAAAACACGAGCACTAAGGGGGAACATATACATATATATCTGATCAAACAAATTGAAAGTGCAAACAAGAAATATCATCAAAGTACAACTAACTATTACAGAAACCTGACTTCTAAAAAAAGGTCTGACATCTCTTCTTATATAGCCTTAAAGGCAAGACTTCTTAACAAGCAAAAACAATAACATAAACTTTTGGTTGATCACTAATCAATAATCAAGAAAATGTGGGAAATAACATCAGAAAAGAGAAGAGACAGAAAAAATACAAATGTGCATCCAAAGACAAACTGTATCTCTACAGAGACACTATTTTAAATCCAAACTACACATTAAAATTTAAGACCGAATACGTAGGATTCTTGCAATGCCCATAAATTTCAAGGGCAAAACACTAAAACGTGCAAACAGAATAAATAAAATACCGATGGAAAAAACTTAGCTCAGTTTAAGAAGAAATTCGTACTATATACATTATGTGTGTATCTCTTCCTTGTCAAACAAGATAGAGTGCAGGGGAACCAGACTAACTATTAAAGAAATTTTGAAAATAAGAACAGCATTATCCAAGCAAGCAAGATAAATCAAACATATACATTATAAATAAAAATTATGTCTGAAAATAATTTAAAATTTAAGAGAGAAAAAAATCAACATTGAACAGAGTTTTAAAAAAGTGTGCGAAAGGGAATTAAAGGGTACCATGCGAGGGTCCAACAAGCCACCATGAATAGGCTTCTTAAAGGAATCATAGTAGGAACCTTTCCACACTTGAACTTCACCAAGTTTGCTTATTTCCGATTCTGATAACATGGAGAACTTCATGTTCTTTCTGCAATAAAGAAAGAATAAAGTAACAATCTTTTTTCAGATGAATCAAATATATAGTGTGATGGCAAGAGAACAGCCCCAAATAAATGCTCACATCTTACGAGGCCCCGCATCCTCCATGAACGGTTCCTTAGTAAAGGTTATGCCCTCAGTTCTCCCTTTATTCATCTCTTCTAGTTTTGCTGAGAAGAGCGTATGAAAGGTCTAGAAGTTGAAATTAGAAAATAAATTGTTATCAAACATAACTAGTGCAAGAAACCCTAAATACAGATTTGAATCAATAAATATATCTTAATGAACACGGAAACCCTAATAGATAGATGGTTTACGACTAACCTGAAACTGTAAACAATCGAGTACAGACCAAGCACGATTTCGGTATCGCAATATGGAATTGGAAAGGAACCCCAAAGTATCTACGACCACGCCAACGGCGATTCACGATGTTTCTGCCGTGGAGAAAGAGGAAGGTCGGTGACAACCTCTCAAACCAAACGCACGTGCGAAAATTTGCTACGAATGAATAATAGAAGGAAAAAGAATTATAAATAAATAAATAATAAGTATGCCTCATTCCATATTTTGTGTTTGGATTTTTTTTCAATATATTAACTAAATTTTACTATCAAACAAAATATGAAAACACAATCCTAATAACGTATTTTATTAATTATTGTAATAACAGTCTCTCTTTTTTTAGCAATAATTCAATTTAATCATTTTTTAATTTTCACTTATTTCATGTTGATTATTCATTTATATAATAAGTTGAAAATAAATTGGTACTTCATGGTAAAAATTTATTTTTATAAATGAAAATACATGCTCAAAGAAAGAACATTTCTCTTTTCAAAGGATTATATTGAAATGTTTATTATGCGTGATGTGACAAAAATGGCTAGGTTCAATAATATAAATAAAGCTTTAAGATCATTTGTTCCATTTTAACAGAAGTAATTAGAGAAAGAAGACGAAAAGATACAGATTTTACAATTTCAAAAATATATTTCTTTCTGATGGCTTTCAATTCAAAATAAATCAAATTTAAAATATTTTGTTTGGACAAGGTAATTTACAATAAATATATATATATATATATATATATATATTAGTTTAAAATTTTCTTTAATTTTTTATATTTAAATTTTAAAATAATTATAAAAAATTAGAGCATTTCAGAATTGTTAACAAAAAATTATTTAAAGTTAAAATTAAATATTTTATTATAAATCTTATATTTAAGTGGTTTAAAAATAAAAAAAGTTACTTAAAATTATAATAAAATTATTTGAATAAACATTCTAACTATTTTTAAATAATTCATAAGATTTATAATAAAATATTTAATTTTATTCTTAAACAATTTTGGTTAAAATTTTAATTTAAAGATATTCTTGTAATTTTGTATAATGTTTAAAAGTCAACTAATAAAATTTGTCAATAAATTATATTTTATTTTGTAATTTGATTAAAATATAATTATTAATTATGGGACAATTTTAACTTTAGTGTTATTTTTTATTTTTTAAATTTGTACAGATGGATGATGAGATTAAAAATGAAATATGGACTCGTTTATCTAGTTTTTTATTATAATTAAATTCATCATAAGAATTCACGCATTAACCAAACTTATTTATTTATTACATGGGTTTTTTATTTTGTTGAAATTATATAATTTTGAGTATTTGTCAATCTATATTATAAAGGTAAATAAGTTATCAATTTATAAATAAGTTAATTTTCATTTAGCGAGCAACTAATTTAGATTAAATACATACATTTTTATAACTATTTCAAATATTTTATTAATATTTTGTTAAAATCTATTTTAAAGGCTTTAAGTTAATGTAATTTTTACTAGGTTTTTTTTTTAATGTGATGCTAAGTTTATAAATATTAGTATCTGAGGAAAAAATATATCATAATAAGTTATCGTGATTTTTTTAAATTGTTTTTTTGTTATATTTTGTTGTGATATTCATTAATTAGATATTTCATAGTACATTATGCATTTTAGCAAATGAATATGCTGAGATATTTAAGAATGTTTAATATAATGGACCCATTTTAGTTCAAATGACAATATTTTGTGAGTTTATTACCATCGTAATTTATTTTTATATTTATTAATTGCTTTTAATGTTATGTATGTATTTCTAGTGCTCCATATGATAATATTAATAAAATGTTTTGTTATATAAAAATTTTAACTTATCATAAAATTAAAACGTTATGATATTTAATAGAGTTAATTTGAAAGATTAGAAAAGAAAAATAATAATAGAAATTGATATTATTTAAATTAAGAGAAAGAAAATAGAAAATGAAGAGAAATAAAATTAATTTGATTTTAAAAAATAATAAATAATAAATTAAAAATGATGAATGATTAAACTACCCTTTACATAATTTTAATAAAAAATAAATATAAATATATATAATTTAATATGAAATAATTATTTAATAAAATAGATAAAAAGTAATTATAATTAAAGTTAATTTATATAAATTATAAATAAAAATTAATAAAATAAATAAATAAATTATTATTACATTATTTTCTTTTAAAATAAATAAATATATAAAATTTAATTTCTATATATTATTATATATACTATTTGATTAAAAATTATTTTTAAAATGAAATATTTTAATTGAAAAAATAATTGAATTAGCATTAGATAGTCCATTAAGAAAAAAACCATTTTATATTTTTTTAATAAATTAAAAATATAGTTCAATTAAAAATATATTATTAACGAATCATGTTAAAGTAAGATATGAATTATTAAATATATTAATTTTTTTTAATAATTGTTATTACATCATGTTATTGATAATAATAATAATAATAATAATAATAATAATAATAATAATAATAATAATTTCAAACAAAAGAAATATAAAAGAAAGAAAACTATTAGGTTGAGAAACTAAACAATTCCATATTCTATTCAACCCATTTAAGTTAGACTTCTTTAATAATCTCTAGTTATATTTTTTACAGAAAGTAAATTTGTATTTTATCTTAAGGTTAAATATGTATTTAATCACAAAAATAGCTCTCTTTATTTTAAAATAAAATATATTTTGATTTTTTTTAATGTCAGATGTACATGGTACTTTTCTATGCAAAAAGTCGTACTTTTTTTATCTCTTGTTTATAAAAATAAGTGCTACACGTTGTACCTTTTCGTATAAAAAAAAAAACACTATAAAAAGAGTTTTTTAAAAGAGAATTGAGATTACAAGCATAATTAAAAATAGTTATAGTGGTGATTACGACATTTACCAAGTTACAAGGAGATTATGAAGGATATGCTTTCAACTTTTCGTTACCACCTAGGCATCGGAAGAGCTTTCTGGCGGACAAGAGACGGTTCTTCGCGGAGAAGCTTCGGTGCGAGAGTGTCGTCTCCCACTCGGTGGAGTTCAGCTACTGCGACGACGTTACTGCAACGACGTTGAAGTGTATGTGGAAACTGTGGTTTTGATGCACTGCGAGGATCTCAAGGCCAGGTTGTGCTACATGGGCGAAGGGTTCCTAAAATTCTGAGCTTGTTCAAGGTATGATGAAAAGTTCCACACTTGCATTATGCATGTTGGAGTAAAAAGTATTTTATGATTCGCGGTTAAACTACAATCCAAATATGCGATTGATTTAGACATCATGTGAATTTAGATTATTTATTTGTAAATACCAACTCAATAAGAATAATTATGATATAATATATTTCCATTAAAGATGGTTCTTATATAATTTAGATTTTTAATATTATTTGAAATATTCAGAGTAACTTGCTAAAATAGAAAAATTACAATAAAGGTAAATTACGAAAAAGTAAAGGTGCATATAAAGTAGATGGTATAAAAGTAAATTTAACTAATTTTATTAAAAATATTTATCCTTTATTTATAATATAAGCTTCTTATAATAATTTATTTTATATTTATTTCACCTTATTTATATTTTTCTTATATGTAACCACTAAAATAAAAATTGAATAAAATAAAGTCAAATAAAATACATAAATTGGTAAATAAAGATCTATCAACGGTTATTTTATCACAATTTCTTTCCATTTTTTCAATCTACATTATTATTACGTATCATCCGTTAGTGCGCATATCTTGCAATGGAATAATAATTGTCTTTGTATGTCTCTTACTTTCTCTCGATATCTTATTTTTATTCATTTGCACCCTTACATTCGATGTCTTCAATCACACCATACCAATTTATTTCTCCATTTATTCTTCAACCTTCTTCCTGATGACACGTTCCTTCTAGCATTTTCTAAGTATTTGTAGTCTTACTTTCGATTTATACATTCTAACTTATCATGTTAAGTTTATCTTTTACTTTCAATTTCTTTTGGTTAATATCGATTCTCAACTTTCGATAGTTCCAATCATCAATATAATCTTTTAACACATCTTTCATTCCTCGATTCTTTCTTTTCGATATATTTAAATATTATAATATTTAACAATATATTTCGGTGTTTGTTGGGTTGAAGAGTGAATTTAGGAGAGTTAAAAAGAAAAAATAATAATAAAAACGATATTATTTGAATTAAGAGAAAAAATAGAAATATAGAGAAAAATAAAATTAATTTGATTTTAAAAAATATTAAATAATAAAATAAAATGATGAATGATAAACTATCTTTTACATAATTTTAGTAAAAGACAAATATAAATTAAAATTAAAATATATACAATTTAATATGACATAATTATTTAATAAAATATATAAAACTAAATATAAATAAAGTTAATTTATATATAAATTATGAATAAAAATTAATATCACAAATAAGTTGATTATTATCTTTTAAAATAGACAAATATATATAATTTATTTTTATAATACTATTTGATTAAACAAATTTTAAAATAAAATATTTGAATTAAAAAATATTTTAATATTTAATATTTATTTAAAATTATATAACTTATATGTTTTCAGTAATATATAATTATATATTAAAATTAAATTATTTAAAAAATTATATTAATTAGCATTAAATAATCGATTAAGAAAAAAAACTATATTATATTTTTTAATAAATTTAAAATATAGTTTAACTAAAAAATATTATTAATGAATCATGTTAAAATAAGATATGAATTATTAGTATTATTATTATTGAAAGTACTTGTGGAGGAGATTGATAGCAATGTGAAATATTTCCCTACATTCTGAAGAAGATGAGTTTGATGAAGATTCAAGTCAACACCATTCAAGACTTATGCAAGCCCAAAGACTAGATAAAGTCTTAGAACACTGGATATGGAGGTACAAGTTGATGAAGTAGTATTGTGCATAAGCCTCCAAAATACAAATGTGAAACAATTTTCATATTATGACAGTTTTCATTGTCATAATCGATTATGAGAGGTTTATTATCGATTATGTCAGCAAATGAAGCAATTGTTTTTTAAAGTCTCACTGTCATAATCGATTATACAAGTATCATAATCGATTATGATACATCAGAAATGAACAATTGATTTTGTCTTTGTCATAATCGATTATGCAAGTAATATAATCGATTATGGCACTTCGAATTTTAAAAATATATTTGTTTTTGAAGAATAATAATTGTTGAAAACATACTGATTTTTCTCTACGAATTAATTACAGAGCAACAATTAATTTTTATTTTTATTCTGACATACATATTCAATACTATTTTCCTATTTAAATGAATATTGATGAAAAATAAAAAACACAGAATTTTAATACACAATTAACAGAAAATCAATTTTGAGAAAATCATTCTGAGCAAGGTAACAAAAATATTTTACATTTTCTGATTTCCCTATTGTCTTTGGTGCTTTCATTGTTAATCACACTTGTTCTTAGAGCTATCATTCTATAGGTTTCTACAATTTGTTGTCTCTATTATCAAGTGTGATTGTTCTTATTGAAATTCTTGTAATTTAGGGTTTCCTTTGTGGGACATGTTCATCCATTGATTTGTTCAGAGGAGGTGTTCATCTCAAATGGGATTCTTGATAGGTGTGTTTCTGAGTTCATCTTTTGATTTGTTCAGAGAAGGTGTTCATCTCAAGTGAGATTCTTGAAAGGTGTGCTTCTGTGTTCATCATTTGATTTGTTCAGAGGAGGTGTTCATCTCTAGTAGAATTCTAGAGAGGTGTTTATCTTTTTAATTAGTTTATTGTTTACTGGTTCTTCTGTAATTGATTGTAATTTGTAAACTGAATTTTAAAGATAATGAATTGGGTTGTCTCTCTCATATTAGAGGTGACAGAGAACTATATGCAGGGTTGACTTGACCCGAACTAGTATAAATTACTGTGTGCTTTTATCTTTCCCTATATCTTTTTGATTATTTTATCACTTCCATTTTATCTATATTCAATCCGATAATTAAAATTGAATTAAAAAATTATTGGACATCTTAAATAAATTTTAATTTATACATCTATTCACCCCCCCTCTAGATGTCATTTGTCTAACAAGTGGTATTAGAGCTTGGTTAGATAAATTATTTCTAAACAATCTGTCAAGATGTCTATGCAGAATCAGGTTTACAGGGAAAAAACCTCAATAAACAGAGCATCATTATTTGAAGGTGAAGACTATCAATTTTAGAAGGTGAGGATGGAAATATTTTTACAAACATTGGATTACGGAGTCTGGGATGCTATACTCAATGGTCCCTACATTCCGATGGCAGATGGAGATGGAGTTGTTCCAAAGTCCTTTGATCAATGGTCGCCGGATGAGAACAAGTGTGCCCAATATGATGTAAGAGCCCGAAATGTTATTATTTCTGCCCTAACTTGCAATGAATTTTACGGAGTCTCATGGTGCAAGACGACAAAAGAAATGTGGGACACTCTTGAAGTGACACATGAAGGAACAAATGAAGTAAAGTGAGCACGCAAGAACACACTCATGTAGGAGTATGAGTTGCTTCAAATGCAACAGAATGAAAGCCTCACGAATTTTTAGACACGCTTCATGCATATAGTAGATCACTTGGAAGCATTCGGAAAAAGTTTTGGCAATAAGGAGTTGAATATAAAGATCTTGAAGTCCTTAAACAAGAATTGACAACCAAAGGTCACTACTATTACAAAATCAAAGGATCTCAAAGAAATGGATCTTACCACTCTATTTGGGAAGCTGCGAGAGCATGAAATGGAGCTACAAAGATAAAAGAATGGTGAACAGAACCAAGTCAAGACAATAACTCTAAATGCAGTAAAAATTTCACAAGATGAAAATGAAAATGAAGGTGAGTTTTCATATTCTGATATATCTTTTTTAGTTAAAAAGTTTTCTCGGTTTGTGAAGAATAGGAAAGAGGGACAACAAAGAAAGGAGAAAAAAAAATAGGTACAATTGTTATGGATGTGAAAAATTTGGCCACATCAAACCAGACTATCTAGAACTTAAGAAAGATGTGAAAGAAAAGAAAAAGAGAAAAGATCTCTAAGAGCAAATGCAAAACTTATATCGCTTAGGAGGACAATGACTCTTCCACTACACAAGAAAGCTCTTCCGAAAGCAATGATAGAGAAGAAGAAGAAAATATTTGCTTGATGGCAAAAAGTGATGATGAAGCTTCATCACAAGTAAGTAGCACAAAGTCCTTAACTGCATATGATGAGTTGCATGAAACATATCAAGAAATGTATGAAAATTTTGACAGTTTAGCTAAGAAACATATTGTACTTAAAAAAAATTTCATGCATTAAAAAATATTGTTAGTATTCTTGAAAAGGAAATGAGTACTTAAAGAAAGATGTTGAGAAATTTAAAACTCTCTCTAAAAATAAAGAAGTAGTTAATCCTTGTGAAAATTGTAATCATTTAGAAAATGAAAATTTCAAGTTAGAGAAAATAATGAGTGATTTCTCCAAATCTTTTGCAAATCTTGATTATATATTAGGTTGTCAAAGAGGGGATTCTAGCAAAGCTGGACTTGATTACAAACCCAAGGAAAGACTAGAACCTCATAGAACTATTTTTGTGAAAGAGTCAAGGAAAATAGATGTAAAACAAGTTTCAAAAACTTTAAGAAACTCATTTAGACCTCTTTAAAGAAAACCAAGATGTTTTTATTGCATGAAATTAGGTCATATATCAAATAGATGTTACATAAAATATTTTGGTATATCTAATGGCAAATATGAATGGGTGCCTAAAGGGGCAAATATAAATTGATAGCTTGAGCATCTAATAGATTATGAATTCTCGTAAAATGTTTTTTTTTGTGATAGTTGATTATGAAATACCATAATTGATTATGATTGGTCAAACTTGATACGTATGAATTATCTTACTGTCATAATTGTTTATGAACTCTCCATAATCGATTATAACAACAAACTTTTGAAAGTTAAAATTTTTTTTTATTACGGGAATTACATAATCCATTATATCATATTTCTTTACATTTATCCTTAGTCTTTTGGTTGAGACTTGTGATTCTACTAACCTTTAAGAACCCAAAAATAATCAAAGGGTACCTAAATTTGTATGTTGCAGTTGATCATCAAGGATAAGAAATCAAT